TGTGTTACATGAAATAACTCTTAATTTTCTAGAAACTCCTTTTGTTTTTGTCTACATATTTTTTTGTGTTGATTAGATAAATATATGCACTGATTAATTTAACACTAATTGATAAAATGCAATAAATATAATTGATAAAATGTAATAAATTTAATAAAATGTAGTTAGAATTGTTTTATTTGTAAAAAAAAATTAAAAATCAGAAAATATTAAAATATTAAAAAATAATAAAAATATTATAAAATAATAAAATATTAAAAAATATTAAAATATTAAAATATTAAAATATTAAAATAATAATTTAAAAAGTAGAAGACGCCACTGGTGGCAGCGTCTCCTCCCGATGCCGCCACCTGCGGTGGCGTCTCCGTCCGATGCCGCCGTTTCCGATGGCGGCCAACACCAATTTAATTACTACTTCAAAAATAATCCCATTTTAAAAACTCCAAAACAAAACAACCCCAAAAAAAATATTGCCCCAATATGGGTTGGTAAATATTTTTGAATTTTAAAAGGCGAGTCTACTCTTTGGATATTTTGGCTATGTTTGGATGCATTTTTGTTTTGTTTTCATTGTTTCCCCAAAATAAAATGGGATTTATTATACTTTTCAAATCATTTTCTCAAAAGTGTGACTACTACAGTAAAATGATTTGACTGCTATAGTAAAAAAATGTATTCACTATAAAACAAATAAACATCACTTCATCTTTCAATTTTTTTCTTCAAAAATACATTTTTCTAACACCTTTAAACATGATTTGACTGGTACAGTGTATTTTGTCTCCTTCCAAAATACAAACAAACATTACTTTCATTCTCAAATTATTTCCCCAAAACATATTTCCTCAAAATGAAATCAAAATAAGATCCACAACGTTTCCAAACATTGCCTTTGAATTTCTATTTGTTTTTTTAGGGTAAAACAAACCCCCCTCTTGTTTGGGTAATTACAACCACCCTCAACTATAAATCTTCTTACACGTCCCCCTTGCGGTTTCAAATTTAGTGGAGTCTTCGAGATTATATGGAATATTATCACTTTAGTACATATTTTATGCCATTCGAACTCCACATTTTGAATCAAGATGATCATAATATGTGTTTTTTGGCTTGTATATATCAGATTGTGGTGCATCGAAAACTGTATTTTTACACAAAACGAGTACAAAGTATAACACATTCCACGAAATCTAGATGATTATGTTGAAATTGACACCATAATGGTGAGATGTAAGAGAAAATCATAATTGATGGGTAGATGTAATTATCCAAACAATAAGGATTTTCTCGTAATTGACCATACCTCATGGGTGGTTGTAATTTACCCTTTTTTTTAACATATTTTATTTTTTTATTATTGAAAAAAGGCTCAATTTATTAATTGCAAGTTTTTTTATTTAGAAAATTAATTGCAAGTTAAATAGGTAGCATTTGTGTTTTCTTGAATATATGCCCAAGTTATTTATGAATCATTGAATTAAATATATATATTACATAATATAAGGACAATTTAATTAGTAATAACATCAAGCATGGAATAATTCCCATCATATTCTACTGAATGATATCATGCTATTCACTCTTATCATTCATATCCAAATTCCCAAACAAGGTCTACACGATTTAATACTTTCTCTTTTTCGACTTAATCATTTGGGAAAAAAATAATTGTTCGATAACTTTTTTAATTTTTAATTCGAATAATGAAGGAAATATCATTTTTTTTTCCATTTGTACCCATGTTATTCCTATATAGTTGTGAGGTTATTAGTGGAAAATAAATTAATGAGGAGGATATATTAGGCATTTTATATATTTTTTCCTAAAATCCAAATATATATTAGTTATATCAATACAAAATAGCATTTACAAAATATAAAAACAAATTATTAAATTTGGTTTTTATAATTATTTTACCTAATGAAATAATATTATAATCGAGTTTGTTTTGGGCCATTTTATCAAAGAGCACGTAAAGAATAGTGGTAAAATTATAATTTTGGGCCATAAAAAATTAATAATTTTGGAGGCCCAGGCCCAATCCTAAACAATATGCTATTGGGCTAGTCTTACATTAAAAATCATAAAGCGGATTACTATACATGAAAAATAAATAGGCAGGAAAAATATGCAAACTCATTTTTTTATTATTTCTAACCTATATAAAGGAGTTTATTAGTTCAAGCCCGTAAATTAATTTAATTTTATTACATCAAGATTAAAGAAGACGAATATACTCTTATCAATAAATAATACTCAAATACAAACAAACTCTATTTTTAATTTGTTAATAAAAACCATAAAATACAAAAAGTTAAAAAAAACAAAAATAAAAAAGAAAAAAAAATAGAAAAAACTCACAACTGCCGTCGTCAGACCGCCGAGACCCCACCACCACCAACAAGTACTTTTTACTAAACTTTTGTTTGTCAGTTCAAAAACATTAATCGAGCATCGATTCTTGATAAATATGCGTGGATGAACATTAATCTATGCTTACTTCTTGTTGGGTTGTAATGCTTTAGCCGATTTTGGAAAAAAATATTGAGATTAAAATTGAATTTTTTGTTTGTTTTCGTTAGTTTTCCAAATTGGTTTATCCAGACCGATTTTGTACACGAAAATCGGCGTCACAATGCCGATTTTTGTTAACCAAATCGGCGACACAACGTCGACTTTACAAGTCAAAATCGGCGTTGTAATGGCGATTTTTTTTTTTTTATGATTTATATTTTTTATTTGGTTTTGAATTTCATTAAGGGTAAATTAGTAAATTTATGTTGGAGGTCTTGAACTAATAAAAAAATTGGCTTGTATGCCAAATAAATATTCATATTTATTTCTACAGAGAGAAAAGTGCAGAAAAGACAATTCATCGAAAATGCGGGGTAAAAAAGTAATATCACCTTTTCACCGGTAGCTTTATCGGCCAACACTTGTGTAACCAGTCCCCACCACTAACAGCACCTCCCCAGAAAAATCACCACACTTTTTCATCATCAAAAAACAAAATCCCACCATTTTCTCTTTTCACTCCATTCGAGAAAAAATAAAAAGAAAAAAAGAAATTCATTGCGCCGAGTTTCAACTTTCCTCCCCAAACTTTCAATTTCAAATCCCTACCTGTGGATACTCTTGGTCGCCGATATGGCGACAAATCCACCGGAGGGTTACGCCTCCGACGATTTCCTCGAGCAAATCCTTGCTATTCCCGCGTACGCCGGTCTCGCCGGAGCCGACGGCAGTAATCACTCGGATAATACTTCGTTGAACGATACTTTGGTGTCTCATCTAGGTTCTGTGAGCGCCGCCGCGAGCCTCCACCATCACCACACGCCGATGTTTCCGCTGAGCCTCAGCCTCGATAATGGCCGTGACTCCGTGAACGACGACGGAGCCTATGCCGTGAAGCCTGTAAGATTTTAATTTTTGGTGTTTTTCTTTGTCCTTTATTTGTTGATTAGGTTTTCGGAAAGTTGTTGCCCTTTGTTAGCTGGCTGGCACTCTGTAGCTGATTATTTGTCTGAATCAATACTTTTGTTTGTGGGATTGCTGTAATGTAATATTGAGTTCTTCTTTTGTAGGAGAGGGAAGCACTTAACACTAACATGGGGAGTTTATATCCTGCGTTTGACCATCTACAGGCTCATGCAGCACGTCATCCCATGCCTCAATTTCAACAGGTCAAACTGAACACACACACACACACACACACATATTTGTATATGCTTATATTTTGCTTATGTATGTAGTCGAGCGTTCATCCAATTGAAGAATTCATGTCAGTCATTATGCAATTAATTAGGTTATAAGATCTATAGTGTAATTTTTTTATACTTAAGATCAGGTAATGTTGACAAAATTCAGAAATGGTGTGGCATGTTCTGTTAGTAGTTGTTGTTCGTGAAAGAGAGTTCTTCGACAAGGACATGATTTTTAGGAAGTACGAAATTTGAGAAATTACTTAGTTGATGACCTGTATAATTTGTTAAAGTGAAAATCCAGTTACGATAAAGATTCGATATGGGGCAGTTTCGTACTTTTGTTGATTAATCATGTTCGACTTTTAGTGGTAGTACAGTTTTCAAAGTTTTAATATCTTCTTTCGACTTGTCTTCGAGGAGTTCATATTGTATCTTAGAATGTCTATAGTTGTCAATTGTCATGCGAGAAATTTAGTGGATTTGGGTTCTGGACGATAGTAATTTGTAAGAGTGTCTTTGTTCGAGAAATCCTCACAATATCTTACAAGTTTTTTATATGTTCTGAATAAGCTAGTTAAACACTTTTTGGTTTAGTATTATTTGTTGACATTTAGATACGTGTTTTTTTTTATAAATCGTCAGTTGTCAACTGTCATGTATTTGCGGCTTTGTCAAACAGAAGCGTAATTTCCGATTTTTTATATTAAATCTGCATCTGTGTCCACAGGCCTTTCAAGGTCAACCCACAGTAAGCAATGCAGTAACTATGCCACATCCACCTGTCATTAGGCCTAGGGTTCGTGCAAGGCGAGGCCAAGCAACAGATCCTCATAGTATTGCTGAACGGGTATATTTATTTATGATAACTGTTTTTTTCAATGTCTTATTGCTGATTCATTTCTAAATAAAACGATTGCATCTAATGCAGTTACGTAGAGAAAGGATATCTGAAAGAATCAAGGCCTTGCAAGAACTTGTTCCCAGCTGCAACAAGGTGCGTGCCTCCACTTCTTATGAGATATAAATCTTACAGTTTCTACCCCCCCCCCCCCCCCCAAAAAAAAAAAAATATTTTTTACACGGTCTGAACCCCTCAATAAATAGGGGAATTAATACATCAATTAAAAATGGACTGGACTGGTCCTTCTTGAAATGTAAAAAATTTGCATTTTGCATGAAAGGCCCAAAAGGATTTTTTTAAATTTATTTTTTAAGAATCCATAAAAATGGGTAAAGCCAAAACTATAAGGGGGAGTTGAAAAATGAAAAACCGAGGTGACTTTTCTTAAATCCCGGGGGAAAAATTATCTTTAGCTCCTTGGAAGGAGCAAATTATTTGTTGCTCCCCCTTCCCAGGGGTGGGAAAAAGGGGGGAACCAACTTCTTGGACTTGGGTTTGGGTGAAATTTACTGAATTGTCCCCTGGGTTCTGCAAACTGAAAGGGCGGCCCTGCTTGACGAAATACTGGACTATGTGAAGTTCTTAAAGCTTCCAGTCAAGGGAAGAATGAATTCTTGTTCTTGGATATTGGAAAAAATATTACGCATACCTCCAATTTCCC